TTTGGGACTTTAAGCAACGAGTCTTTATCGAAAGTGAGACTCAATTTGTACCAAATATTTCCATGTATTAGGTCTCAGGAGAGGGTTGTATTAAACTAAGTCTGTGTGAATTCTAAGCACTTTGCTTATGCAGCTTTCTTCCATCTTAATTACTTCTCCTATTTCCCTTTAGATGGCAAGTCTTGAATACGTGTCCTATAATAAATATTTGTACTTTTGTGGAAGTGAGAAACAAAGCGTGTACAACATGTTTTACTTATAGAAATGACTATGTTGTACTGATTACTGAATTCCCACTTAAGTGATAGTGTACATTTGATGAATTGAACCCATAGATGGCAGGATGGGACCACTCAGTTCATAGTCTTTAATGAACAGACTTGGAAGAAACATTTTTTTTAGTTGCTCATGTTCAGGAAGCAAAAAATGCACTGAAAAATAACAATAAAATAAATATCTTTGAATCTCCAATTTTTTATTTAATAAGAATTTTGCTATGAATGGTTGGCATACTGTTACCCATTATAAATTTTGTTAAAACACTTCTTTCCTGAGGGCTAATATACATTGATCTGCAGAATATCCTCTCTGTCTTTCCCTCTCTTCCCTTCCAATTTTGTACTTTTTACAACGTAGAAATCTTTCAAGAATTTTTGGACAGAGAATCTAGAGGATGAGGGATCTTCATTGTATACTAGCTTTCCGGTAGTTTTTCCACCATAAAGTTTGCTTTCTTTTTCTTTTAGAAAACATACATTTTTACCTTAAGTAATTTAAAGTAATTCTATTGATGAAATTACTAAAACCTCTACTTAAAATTACAGGTTCTCTTACAATTACTGCCTAAAGCCTACAGGCCATGGAAGATAAAGGGGTTTAAGGTGTCTTCACGTTAAATCAAAAATTTGCTTATTTCCCTGGGACCCAAGAAAGACGTGAGAAAGAAGTGAACAAGCTGAAAATGATGGAGACTTGCAGAAAACCAGAAAACATTGCAAGTTCACTATAGTATAGTTCATCAAATGCTAGGATGTTGTATCTTTGCAGGTCAGGGAGCTGCTGATACACACACAGCCGCTGGGCCATATTAATCAGAAAGGAATACTAATCAGACCAGCAGCTAGACATCAAGGCATAACATCAGCCTTGTCTTCTCCTTTTCATAGCCTAACCTCTGAAAAGAGCAGTTTATTATCCATGTCTCTATTTCCTCATCTATTTATTTAACCTTAATCACAGAAATCTGGCTTCTACTCTCAGTTTTACACAGAAACTGCTCTGGCAAAGCTCACCAGTAACTAACTGCCCAACTGTCAGAGACAGTGGTTGATTTTCAGATGTTCCCTGAGTGGATGTAGCACAGGACAGTGCCGACTCTTCACTCTTCTTGAAATGGGCTGCTCTCACAGCTTTCACAGCACTCCACAGTGCCGACCCTCCTCAGGCATCTCCATTCACATTCAATTTGCTTGCTTCTGCAGGATGCTTCTCTTCCTAGGCTCACTCCTTGATGCTAATTTTACTTGGATTTCTGTCCTTGGTAATCTTTTCACTTTACATGGCTTCCATGAGAAGTCTCATTTACTCTCATGGCTGAAACTACTACCTCCACTCTGATAACTTTATCTATGTCTCCATTCTGGACTTTATACCCAGCTACCTATTAGACATTGCCTTGAACTAAAAATGTCTAGAAATGACCTAATTTTTTCCTTTAATTTCTACCTCCTCCTAAAATCTGAAAGCCTCAATTCTTCTCTTATGCACTTATTCTGGCTAATTTCATGCAAACTAAACATTAGGAGTTATCTAGATCCTTGCAACTCCCTTCCTTTTTTTTTTTTTTTTTTTGCCAGATTTGATGGCTATCTCCTAATTAGCTCTCAATTCTCTTGCCTCTGCTATTCTTTTTGGTGTTACTATTATTATTGTTATTTTACCTTTAGTATTAAAAGTTTAATATCTGGGTTTAGCAGTTCACAGTGCATAAGAGTGTCTTTTGGAAACCAAATCTGTTTGTATCATTCCCTTGTTAAAATCCTTCTGTAACTCTCCAAAACCAGGATACAGCCAAAACTCATTTCAACTCTCTCATCCTCATCCCTGCCAACTTGTCTACCCTCATCTCTCAACACTCTCCTTCTACCTTTTATTCAAGCCATATTAAAGTACTATAGTGTCTTCAAATGTATTGAATTGTTTCATACTGCCATGTCTTTACATGAGCGGTTCCACACTAGCGTGCTTGCCTCTCTCTTTCTTCCATCACCATTCCCACACCCAGGCTCACCCTAATCACCTTTACCTCAAGGGGCATCTCCTCTATATTTTTCTCTGAGTCATTGAGACTGACTGAGTTGATCATTCTCTTATTTGTGCCACTATACTTTGTGCACATGATTGTTGTTGAATGAGCTCCTGAAAAGTTCTGCCCCAGAAAACGAGATAGTCATTGCTAAGATGATGTTTTCAGTTGTACCTTAGCTATAATTCAAATGGTAGTATTGGCTATTCTACATGAAAGTTGTTTCATGACCCTTAAGACTACAGTAAGAGCATCTTCTCTGCCCCATTATGGTACCACTGACCATATTGCATTATAGTTGCCTGGTTGCTTGTTTCTCACCTCTCACTCATCTGAGAACTCCTTCAGGATGGGGTTCCAGTCCAACTAACCCTTTCCAACGTCTAGTGCTGTGCTTTGCTGGCTGTAGGCATTGTAGATAAAAGCTTAGAATCTGAAGCCAGATTGTCAGGGTTTAAGGTTTTGCTTTGTCACTAACCATTTGGCCTCAGCCACATTTATATTCTCTAAGTTTCCTTTCTAGAAGAGGAGAATTACAGAATCTAGCTCTTTGGATTTTGTGAGAATTAAATGAACAAGTTCATATAAAAAATAAGAATAGAGTCTGTTTCAGAGTAAGCTAACGATGTGCTATTTGTAATTACAGTCATATTGCCTTGTATCTGTAGAGGTTACAAGTACAGATTCTACAGCTAAAACTCATTCACTCATTTATTTATTCATTAATCCATCCATTCATTTACTCAATGTTTAATTCATGTATTCACTAAAGATTTACTAATTGCTTATTAAATAGCAGGCACTGTGCTTGGTGATATGGGAAATAAAATAACTAATCAGACATTGATCCTGTCTTCTTAAAGAACTTATAATTTGATGGAGAGATGGAATATATATAAAAATAACTGTAAGACAAAATGAAAATGCTTAAGGCAGTAAGAGCTTCAGATGAGGTCGTACAAGTGGTTCTGAGTATATGGGCATTTTTCCAAACTTCCAGGGCTATGTTCATAATTACAGATGAGATTTTCATATTTTGCCTTTGTTAACAAATTAATCAAATTGTACGTACTTAATAGCACCTCAGCATACAGCAAGTCAGTGGCAGAGAGAGATGATGAGAGTCTCTTCTGAAGGCACTACGTTTAGAAGCCTTTTCAACACTATATTATTTCCAGACGTTTGTGTTAAGATTGCCAGAGTAAAACAAATGTTTACACAAGTGGAATTTGTTCCTAATTTTTCCTATTCATTAATGTTTCAGTTTTGAAAATCAGAACGTAATTTAAAAATTTAAATAGCAAAACTTAATATGTTATTAAGCCTTAAATTTTTCTTTACTTTGCCGTGTTAATTCATTTATTCTTTCAAGTGCTTGAATATTTAAACCATTTAAAATATTAATAATATACCAAAGAAGTATCAATATTTACATTAAATTGGAATTCACACTGCTTTATAATATTTTCAGTGGTTTATATTATTCATAATTTCACTAAATAAATCATCCTCATGGAAGGAACTTAAGCAAGCATATTATACTATAACTATTGCATGGCAAGCAATGCTTTTCTTTCAAATTGAGTACTAAAGAATATTAGGATGGGATAATAAAAGATGTGATCTAAACTGATATATTTTATTTCACATCAGAATTCTTAAATTATGGTAATGTAAAGCTCATAAATCATGGAAACTTATTACAGTATATTTTTAAGTTGTAGGAACATCATATATCCCATCCCCATTTCTGCAAAATGGAAATGATAGCTATGATGAACTACGTAACATTTGCATTTTTCAGAGATAGCTTACTGTAACAGGATCATAAGACAAATATACATTTGTCAAGTTACTACAAAATATTAACTATAAGAGATAAGGATAATTCAGATAACTTTGTGGCACTGAAAAGACAGTATACTCTCTCTAGTCTTCTTTGAACATTTTGAGAAACATTTGATTTCAAAATTAAGAATATTTTGTGGCTGCAACAATTTGTTGGTTCCTCAGCTTCTAAACAGCAGTAAAATTAATTATAGGAGGAAACATTCATGGAGGTTTCTATCCTTTTACCCGATCCTTGTGTTTGTGCTTCTTTACTAGTTTTTAGTCCTTAGGAAGTAAGATACATTAGAAATGTAGTATTTATTTGAATAAAATCTTAAGTTATATTTTAAAATACAATTTTGAGTAAAAATATTATCTATATGGATAAAATATTTTGTCCATGATCATTTACTTGCTGTTTCATTTTATGTATGGCTTGTGAAATTCTGGCTATCCCAAGATGAATGTTTGATGAAAACCAACCAAGAGCAAATTTAAGCCATGTTAATCTATACTTCAAGATTATGTAATCCATTTAAAAAACAACAAAATCTCACCAAATCTACTGACTTCAGCCAAAGACATTTTTTTCAGTTAGCCCTATTATTCATGTATTTTTTTCCTTTCTCAGCTCTAACACATTTTTTTATATACACGTACACTTCTACAGGGATTATAAAATCTTTGGACAATGATATGATTTGGGGGCAAAGTTTCCATGTGTAAGGAATGTGTGACGTATGAGGAATGTGTCACATCAGGTTGAGTTTTAAAATGAACATACTCTATTCTTAGGTTTTATCTCTACTGATGGATAGGGGCCCAGAGGCCCCTGGGAGCATTTTGGTACCATTGCATTACTTACGGTTGAGAGGCAGGCTCGCATTTGTTGTGCCTAGCTTGTTGGCAGCCACACAAGTATAATTGCCGAAGTGCTCCTGTGTCACATTGGTAACAGTGAGAATGGACCTTGTGCTAAAATTTTGAATAATAATTCCTTGTTGGCCATTGAAGAGCCTAGAAGACAAAATAAGCTCTAGGTAAATATGTATTGTGAATACCAGTTTCATTTTTATCTTAGCTGGGGTTGTCATGGCAACCCATAGACAATTCGACCACGCTGACGTTAGCATATAACGTGATAACGGTGCAATTTACATTTCACTTACATTAGTAGATTTGGGGGAAGTGAGGTTGCATGTCAGCTGTAGACTGTTCCTGTGGGATTATTTGTGCTATATAACAAACTGAGCTTGGATAGCTACATGTCCTATTTATGCACTGTTACATATTTTAGAAAATAAAACACACTACACCAATAATACCTCATATACTAAAGTCAGGAAGGAGTTTAAGGGAAATAAATATAAAGATTCCACCGAAAGTACAAACTGATGGTTTCTAGGTAAGCTGGTATGTCTGGGTCATTTCAGATATTATTAGATAATTCCCTTGAAAGTTAACCCTACAAGTGTGATAGGATGGTTCTGAGTTCAGAGTCAACACCACTTTACTCTTGTACAACCCAGATAGATAACTTCCATTAAACCTAGAAAGAGACAGCCATATAGTATTGGAGATAGCATTTAAAGTTGAATCCCATCACTGCCACATTTTAGTAATGTGCCGGGGAAAGTCTTTAAAACTCTCTAGGCTTCAGTATGGGATTCAGCTATACCTAAATTCACACGAATTGTCCAACAGTCTCTGGATTTACCACCAGAGGCCCTCACTCTGAAATAGGCTGGCATGGCTTCACCATTCTCAATGCATGTTGTACCTACTTCTGCTTCACCCTTTTTCTGAATCTGTAGCCTATTTTTTGTACCTTCTATTTCTGCTATTCAAATTCTTCCTTCCTCATTTAGGTCTAACCGAAGATTTATCTCTCTTTTTCTAATTTATCTTAAAGGACTCTTACCTCTCTCTCTGTATGGTTCATTTGCACTATTCTCTCTAGCAGTTTCCATGCACACAAGCCTTTTCAAAGCAAATAAATTGAACACTTTTAAATTTCTCAAAAGGAGAGGTTAAATGAACATGCTTTCTCTGATATTTGAATCCTACAAAGCACTTAATAAATAGTGATATCCTAGGTACATAATAAATAGTACAAAGGTCAATGGTGTCCAGGTGATGTTCCCCCAACATAGGCATTGGTAAGCCTGCTTCAGTGGCCTCTTCAAGAAATTCTCTCTCTAAATATAAATTTTCTTACAATGAGTATGTCAACTTGATACTAACTTCTCCACAATTTACCCAAAGTTTATTGCAAAGGAGCTACACTGATCACAACATAGGCTATGTAAACTGATAGTCCAAATGGCATGGTAGTTTTTTCTCTTTAATGTGTTCAAGTTTTTGTATTTTTTTAATTATGAAAATGCTAATAAATGGCATCCTCTGAGAGTTCAATTTGAACTCCTTTGCATTATACTATGTGGCTTGTGCCTGAATTTAGATGAAATATACTGTAGTTAAATGCAGATTAAAATGAGCAGTCATACTTGATTACTCTGGGAATTACTTATATTTCATGTAATAGCTGAATTTGGCTTACCCCAATGCAAACTTTAATCAGATTAATAAAACTTTGAGTTAAATAAACATTGAACAAGCTTTAGCTTGAGCAATAAATTTAATGATCTCCAACTCTGACATAAGATAATAGGGCATAAAATATCATGGATATGGCAGTTTTTATTCTTCTGTCTCATATTTCAAGCCTACCAACATTTATGCTAAATTCCCATAGTCATTATTATATATTTTTCTGCATCACATTAACAACTTTATTTTTAACTAATCAGTATATATGCTCTGTGAAAAAACACTTTCATTGACTTGCAAGTTTCGGCATTATGACTTAAATCAATTCACCCACATCTTTATTATAGACACATTCTCCAGAGGACTCAGAAACTCCCCAGACTACTAAATCCCTGTTGTGCTTCATTGACCAAAACCAGGACAATTTTCCTGCTGAAGAGTTGAGAGAGAAATTAACCAGGGCTTTCAACTGGCTAGACCCAGGGGAAAGACTTGAGGAAGTAAATTCAGATACTCTATGACACTATATGCTTATGTTCCTTATGGCTGTCTTTCTGGGTGAATTAGCTTCCAGTTCCCTGCCCTTAAATGTATCTGAAGGCACAGCCACAGATGTTGCTGAATCATGCAGCACATCCATACTCTGTATGTGTGGGCCCATTTTGGGCTTCTGGCCAGCAGTACCGTGTGCATCCTTACCAGAGTGGAGCATTAGTGCTCCAACACCTGCTACTCAGATCAGTCAGGCAGGTTATTATGGCCAATAAAAAGAAAACTACATTCCCTGGGGGAATTTTCTTCCCTCTAGGGAAAGCTACTTTTCTGAAATTACTAGAGAAATCTAAAGCTTACTTTCTTCTGTAGTTGTGTGTTTTAGAAGTGCTGACTCCTCAAACACCACATGAAAACCTCTCTTCATCTGGTAGATGGTTGGATGAAGGACTTTTTGCAAAGCTGACTTTGTGAGAGGGTGACTTCTGATATGGTGTATATGTCTATAGAGAGTGTACTTTTGTGATTTTCCTGCAGGGTTCTGGGGTATGAAGATGGGCTTTCTCAATTATTCAAATCAATTCTGAAAATATTCATTAATTTGCTACAAAGATGAGCTCTATGCTGGCTGAGTGACTAGGGACAAGACTGGGCAACCCATGATCTCTGTGCTTGAGAAGGTCAGAGCCAAGGAGAAGAATCCAGCACATAAAAGGGTGTTTACAACAGAAGGGTATTTCAGTCACAGTGGGGACCTTGTTAATATGAACGTGTCTACCCTTAATTACTGGTTGTATAAATTTGAGCCACACCTTGAAACTCCAGCCTGTATGACCCTAATGTGATTCACTCCTTGACTAAAACCAAATAATGATAAAAGAGCTCTCTAATTGATGACGTTTTTGTTTACATAATTGATTTGTTCTAATATGATTGTCTACAACTTTGTTTCTGTAAAAAGAATCATTCTTATATTGAGTTAGATTATACAAGAAATATGCTTTCTTATAGCCCCTGTTGAAATCTGCCCCTCCTTGCCAAAAAAAAAAAAAAAAAAAAAAAGGACAAACAAATTCCATGGAGCTCGGAGTTAAATATGGCATCCATTTCTTCAGCATAGATCAGTACTATATGGTGCCTACTTGGAAATACCTGGTCAGTTTTCTTCATTGAGTTTTTATCATAGGGAAGATAGTTATAAGATCCTTCTATTTCTGTGGACCCTGCTGTCCTCTACTCTCTGACACCAATGGAAGTTTGCTTCACATTGAGAACCATAACTCTCACTCCTCTTCTCCTTTCTGGCTTTTGCCAATGCCTCGTAAATCTGTGAACTGCAGGCTCTTTGCTTTGCTAGCAGATGCTGTCAGCTCATAAGTGACACAGCCCAATCCACTAACTACTTCTGAATTAGAATAGTCCCTTATATTTTCTAGTGTCAGTCAGAAGTAGCACATGGAAAGCCTGCTGATAACTAGGGATACTCATATTTCTTACTCGTAAAATGGACACAAACTTTACAATCATAACCTCCCTCCAGGCGGCAGCTATCTGGGACCACCAGAAGAGAGCCTGCAGCAACATCACCCCAAAAAACTGACCACATAGCCATCAGCACCGATTGCTAAGATTGCAAAAATATTAATAAATGGAGCAGCCACACTGGACCTCATTCATTTTATATATAAATCCATCCTCAATCCACATTTTAAGACTATTGTTCACTCTCTGTCTTTCCAGGTCAGGAATAACAACAGATATCTCTAGAGAAACCAACTTGCAGATGAAAACAGCCACAGAAAGACTTCATTTCTAATGTAGGAAATATATATTAAGAAGTATCAGACAACATTTTAAGTATTAGAACAACTTGGAATAAGAGCGAGGGAGGCATTCTCAAATAATGATAAATCTTGTAGAGACTGGAATTCACTTTATATGAGTGGGCAGGTTAATATGGTCTTATTAATCAATCTTTGCTATTAGATGGTGGGGGAAGTTAACCCTTGAATCATAAAAGTTTTATTTATGAAGACAAGGAATGTTAATGTCAGCAATGGACTGTAGGCTTGCAGAATTCCAAGATGTTGTGTGAACTAAAGATACAGCTCAAATTAAAACAAAAGAGAAAGATTTAGAAAAAGTCATGAGTGATGGTAGAATTCTTATATGGACTTAACAGAAATGAGGTTTTATTTGGTTATCAAATTATGATTAAATGCCTTCTATGCTGAAAGAGACTTAGGAACCATAGAGGAAAAATATGACATAGTTATTATCTCAAGGACCTTAGTTCTATCTGAAAATCTGAAGATGACATTAAGATAGCATACAGGTCCCTTCCACAACACATCTCATAATGCCTTTCTCAAGGATGGAGTAATATATATATATATACAGATACACACACACACACACACACACACACATATGTCTCTCTTTCTGTGTGTGTGTGTGTGTGTGTGTCTAGGCTCTGAATCAGACTGTATTTCTAGTCTTTTCAGTGTGACCAGCAATGCTTTATGTAAGTGGGACATTTTATCTGTTCTCAATACATTTATGGTTGAAGTAATCTCACACTAAAAATTTTCAGCATTGTGGCCAGGCATGGTGGCTCACGCCTGTAATCCCAGCACTTTGGGAGGCCAAGGCAGGTGGATCACTTGAGGTCAGGAGTTTAAGACCAGCCTGGCCAACATGGTGAAACCATGCTTCTAATAAAAATATAAAAATTAGCCGGGCGTGGTAATCCCAGTGGGAGCCTGTAATCCCAGCTACCTAGGAGGCTGAGGCAGGAGAATTGCTTGAACCCAGGAGGCAGAGGTTGCAATGAGCCGAGATCGTGCCACTTCACTCCAGCCTGGGCGACAGAGTGAGACTCCATCTCAAAATTAAAAAAAAAAAATTCAGCATTGTACACAATAATGCTTGTTGTTATGAGTGTGAAAAATTGACACACAGAAAACTTTAAGCAT